ATGCATTCCATTTGTCAACCACTCTGACACTTAAAAAATTCTTTCTAACGTCTCTATGGGTCATTTGGGCAGTCAATTTCCACCTGTGTCCCCTAGTGCGTGTGCCCCTTGTGTTAAAAAGTCTGTCTTTATCCACCCTATTAATTCATCTGAGAATCTTGTATGTGGTGATCATGTTCCCTCTAACTCTTCTGTCTCCCTGTGACGTGAGGTTTAATTCCCGTAGTCTCTCCTCGTAGCTCATACCTCTCAGCTCGGGTACTAGTCTGGTGGCAAACCTTTGAACCTTTTCCAGTTTAGTCTTATGCTTGACTAGATATGGACTCCATGCAGGGGCTGCATACTCCAGGATTGGTCTGACATATGTGGTATACAATGTTCTGAAATATTCCTTACACCAGTTTCTAAAAGCCGTTCTTATGTTAGCCAACCTGACATATGCCGCTGATGTTATCCTCCTGCCTATAGATTTATCCAATACTTGACTTGTAAATCATTCCTTCTGAAGATGTATTAATATACGAAAGTACTTAAGGAAATTCCTGTTTCAATTCTTCCTCCGTGGTCTGACACTGTCACACATTTCATCACGTGTTAATTTTCGTGATTTACACACATACATACATATATACACAAACTGAAAACTCCACACGCAAGAAGGATTCGAACCCACAGCCAGGATAGTATGGTACGTGGTGTGCATGCACCTCCCCTCCCCCCTGGGTGCAAACTCCCAGGAGTACTTGTAGCCAAGAAAGATTAATTTACACTTCCTCCACAAGAAACAATTGTTTTTATTTATAAACAATCAAACAATTACAACAGTTAATATAAATAAAAAGTATACTAAAGAGAATTTTATATATGAAAAGTTTTAATAATAAATTCAAAATATAAATTATTAATCACGATAATGTTAAAATCCCCTAGGCCTAAAGAGGACATTTACGTTCGAATATAAAAGTGTTACGATCCAATAGTGTTGGAACCTAACTGATGTAACCCTAACACATCTTCAACACCTTAAACTAGGCTTTCACTATAGTATTTATTACATACACGAGCCGTGTTCAAAACTCCAGGCGTGACACCATTAGGCTATACGTATACATACATACATACATTACATACCTAGTGTATATGCACTACAGTTCATGACTGAACTAGACATTGAAATTGAAATTGAAATAAGTTTATTGAGGTAAAATACACACAAAGGGATGAGGTAGCTCAAGCTATTCTCACCCCGTTCAGTACATCGTGTTAATACATACATAGACACACATCACAAACAATAAACATATTACCAAACATTCTGAGAGGTAAACATATACATTTCCTCCTTCACAAGTAGTATGGTATCAGACGTACACACAAATACTTTTATGACCGAACTAGACATTGAGTGTCAATACCTAGCTCTTGAACTTGGGGGTGACAGCTGACTTACTATACATAGTTATGGATACACACACCTCAACATGTTAACTACGCTTGCCGAGACCTCCGGCGCCAGACGCACGCACGACAACCAACGAACGAACGAACGAACGAACGAACGAACGAACGAACGGAGAGAGACAGAGAGAGACAGAGAGAGACAGACAGACAGACAGACAGAAAGCAACGTACAGTTCCCACCATACTGTTAATTATAATAAGTAATGTCCAGTTTATTACCATGGTCACACTCCCAGCAACACAGCTCCTGCAATATCGCAATGTTATGGCGCGGTAATCAAATGAAATGTTGACAAACCCTAATTTTTGGCCGACCCCAGCTGTAGGCTGTTCGTTCCAGCGGGGGTCTGGGAACACTGACGTCACACACCTCGTCCTCACCATATTTTAACACATTTTAACTCATATTTTCGTCACAAAAGGTTAGCTTAGGATAGAATAGGATAGGCTGGGTTAGACTTGTTAAAGGGAAGCGCTAACGTAGGTGTCAGGGAAGGATTCAATGCAACATTTCCACAGTTAAACTGTGGAAAGTTTATACAACATACAACTGTTTTCCACAGTTGTATGTGGCGTAATCCCCCGTTCTCCTACCTCAGCACACACTACGCAAGCATTATGCTGTAACAGCTTTTACCATGTTAAAGGTAAAACTAACCTTGTAGGTACATTGTGTTGGGATGGAAGGCTTCAAATTAGGCTTGCTTATGTCTGACTACGGCACTGTGAATATCTGGTTAAGTTTAGTTGGTTCATCATTACCTCTCATGCTTGTCAGTCCGCAGACTGAGGATTTTGAGAGTTTGTCGTTGTCACGTCAAATAGTTTTGCTCTCCATGTACGACTCTCTTCCTTTGTCAGTGAGAGAGAGAGAGAGAGAGAGAGAGAGAGAGAGAGAGAGAGAGAGAGAGAGAGAGAGAGAGAGAGAGAGAGAATGTGTGAATGTGTGTAAATGTGTGAGTGTATGTAAATGTGTGAGTGTGTGTGAATGTGTGTGTGTACTTACCTAATTGCGTGTGTGTGTGTGTGTGTGTGTGTGTGTGTGTGTGTGTGTGTGTGTGTGTGTGTGTGTGTGTGTGTGTGTGTGTGTGTGTGTGGGTGTGTGTGTGTGTGTGTGTGTGTGTGTGTCTTCCCTCAGAGGTTGGATGGTAATGGTTTTTAATTCTTTCAATGAGGCCAAGTTAACCACCGCCCTAGCCAGACAGGCCTACTACAGCCGCCCCTCTTCCCCCCAACAATTAGTGCGGGTACTCTAGGCTTACTGGGCGTCACAATACCATAGAGTAACATTACTCGACCTCCGTTTAGAGCATGTAGGTTTTATAGAAATAATATTTGCACAAAGTCTGTCAGTGTCAGGTTAAACAACTGGCTGACCTCCACACAAGCAGAACTAGCAGCATTACATTTAGCAACCAGCACATTAAAAAATATTGGAGGAGGAATAATATTCTGCGATTCAAAGTCTGCTCTTCAAGCAATCGAAAACTTCTCTTGGAAGATCGACAGCAAGAACCTCATACTCCCAATTATAAATGACCTAATTGATGCACAGAGTAAAGGGTCTCGAATCTCCTTTGTATGGATACCTTCACACATAAATATAACCCATCATAATGAGACAGACATTGCAGCCAAATTAGCGTGTAATAAGTTTGAAGTTGAATTAGATCTAGGTATCCCCATCTCTGCTGTCAAAACTGTATTGGTCCAAACATTCAGATCTGATAGGAAAGAACTTACTGACTCCCAACGATCTGAAAGTACTAGTATAAAAAGCTATGATTTGTTCAGATCTGAAACCTACATCTATGGGCAGCACAAAACGTCCACTAGACTGTGCGACACAGTGGTTGCAAGGATCAGGTTGGGTTACCGTTACCTGTGGCAGGTGGCTGCAGGTGACGGGTCTCCCAATCCTGAGCACTCCAGTTGCAAACTCTGTGAGCAGGAACTGCGGCATGATCTCCCGCACTACATCACTGAATGCCCAGTTATTAGACCTTCCAGACCAGTTGGCATGAGGTACCTGGAGCTTTGCAATTACTTTATTCACTCTCGTATTCTTGAAGATATTCTCACAGTATACCCAAAATTTGCCAGTGCAGGCTACTGAACATATGGCCCTGTATGACTAACCATCCTGCGAGATGGGGACTTGTATTACCACTGCTACCTTATTCAATCTTGTGTTGTTGATATCCTCAAAATGCATCCGGAGTCTGCCAGTGCAGACCGCTTATCACATGCCTCTGTATGACTAACCATCCTGTGTGATGGGGATTTTATAGCATCACCTAGTTAGCTTTTTTGACACACTGTACTCCACTTCATATAGTCTAGGGTAGCTGCACTAATGCAGATGTACCTCATAACTTAATAAAAAAAAAAAATAGAGCGAAACTCGCCCACAAGCAACACGCGGGACTTGCAATCATTTATTTGCGTTACAATATCTAAATTTATTAAAGGCAAACTATTTTGAGGAAATAGGATGGCGTTCGATATCTGTGGCCAAGCCTCGCTAGGATGTAACCTGATGTAGCCAATGGCAGGCGCTATGTGACGTCATGTGCTGGTGATCTTGCCTGGGATTGGGCCAGTTGGGAACTGTTGGTCGTCAGAGGTCATGGGGTGAGGATGTTCGACGGAGGTTATCTTGAGATGATTTCGGGGCTTTAGTGTCCCCGCGGCCCAGTCCTCGACCAAGCCTCCACCCCCAGGAAGCAGCCCGTGACAGCTGACTAACACCCAGGTACCTATTTTACTGCTAGGTAACAGGGGGCATAGGGTGAAAGAAACTCTGCCCATTGTTTCTCGCCGGCGCCTGGGATCGAACCCTGGACCACAGGATCACAAGCCCAGTGTGCTGTCCGCTTGGCCGACCGGCTCCCGGAGCTCTTACGGAGTGGAGTAAGATATATTCGTTCAGTCTTAGTCCATCAATAACAAGAACAATTATACACAAATCCCATTAACATGAGAAAATCAAGGAGAGCGCTTCCTAGTACCCCAGAGCGCAGGTTCGAGTCCTCCTTGTGGCTCCAACTGATTTTCTCAAGAACAATTACCTGAAGAGTACAACTGCCCCCATATGAAAAAAAATCCTCATAAACATGCCTATTGGGCATGTTTATTTGTTTTACTGGGCATTGTTTTATTGTTTTATTTATTACAATAATTACACAGCGGATTTGGAAAATAAGCCACTGTGGTATAGCTGTTAGAGCAGTCATAGCGACACACTATTAATATACGTGTAAGATGCAGACCACACTAGCGTGGATAATCAAATTTGGTTCACTTGGAGCATCGGAGACCTAGCTATGGACTCATTTGCATCTTATATGATAAGGATAATTGGGGGAAATACATTTAGGAAAAAGTTTAACGTCTCAGATAATCCAAATGAATGAAATTATGTATCTCTCGCTCTCACTCACTCTCTCTCTCTCTCTCTCTCTCTCTCTCTCTCTCTCTCTCGCATGAGAGAGAGAAAATGAGGTGTAGACATGCACGATACTGTAAGGTGTGCTTACCTTTAGGTGCGAGGAGTAGGGCGCTGGGTTTGGGTGCCGGGTCTGGCGTAACATCAGGCGCGGGTGCACCGGCGGGAGTCGCCACGCCCACCCACACGGCCAACACCAGTGCCACGCCCGCACGCCACATCCTCACCGGGCGAAGATGGGCGTGAAGCCTCACTGCACGCCCACCCCGCTATGATGGGTGGTTATCCTCACGCCCACCTTGTTTATGACGGGCGCGTGTTCACACTGCGCGCGCGCACACTTACCGGTGATGGGTTTCAACACTACTCTTACGCCGCACTGTTTACGAAGTTTACCTTGCAGGCGTCTAACTGGTTTACCTCTTGCTTTTAGGTGGTTTTAAGTCTTTGCGCCAGCTGCTTAGTCTAAAATCTACTGTTCACTTCTTTTTGTTGCTTGTTCAATTGTAATGTTCACTTGTATTTAGCTTGTTCATCAGAAGTGTTCACTTGCTTTTCTGTGTTCATCTGAAATGTTGAAACTTCTCATTTAAATTCTTGAGACACTAAACTACGTAACTGGTAATATTGGTAGTGTGTGGTGGTGGTTGTGGTGTTGTAGTGTTGGTGGTGGTGGTGTTGTAGTGTTGTAGTGTTGGTGGTGGTGGTGTGGTGGTGGTGGTTGTAGTGGTGTTGTAGTGGTGGTGGTGGTAGTGTGTGGTGGTGGTTGTGTGGTGTTGTAGTGTTGGTGGTGGTGGTGGTGTTGTAGTGTTGGTTGTGGTGGTGTGGTGGTGGTGGTGTTGTAGTGGTGGTGGTTGTGGTGTTGTAGTGTTGGTGGTGGTGGTGGTGGTGGTGTGGTGGTGGTGGTGGTGGTGGTGTTGTAGTGGTGGTGGTTGTGGTGTTGTAGTGTTGGTGGTGGTGGTGGTGGTGGTGTGGTGGTGGTGGTGGTGGTGGTGTTGTAGTGGTGGTGGTTGTGGTGTTGTAGTGTTGGTGGTGGTGGTGGTGGTGGTGTGGTGGTGGTGGTGGTGGTGGTGGTGGTGTTGTAGTGTTGGTGGTGGTGGTGGTGGTAGTGTGGTGGTGGTGGTGGTGGTGGTGGTGTTGTAGTGTTGGTGGTTGTGGTGTTGTGGTGTTGGTGGTTGTGGTGTTGTAGTGTTGGTGGTGGTGGTGTTGTGGTGGTGTGGTGGTGGTGGTGTTGTACTGTTGGTGGTGGTGGTGTTGTACTGTTGGTGGTGGTGGTGTTGTAGTGTTGGTGGTGGTGGTGTTGTAGTGTTGGTGGTGGTGGTGTTGTAGTGTTGGTGGTGGTGTTGTGGTGGTGTTGTAGTGTTGGTGGTGGTGGTGTTGTAGTGTTGGTGGTGGTGGTGTGGTGGTGTTGTAGTGTTGGTGGTGGTGTTGTAGTGTTGGTGGTGTGGTGGTGGTGTGGTGGTGTTGTAGTGTTGGTGGTGGTGTTGTAGTGATGGTTGTGGTGGTGGTTGTGGTGGTGGTTGTGGTGTTGGTGGTGGTTGTGGTGTTGTAGTGTTGGTGTTGGTGGTGGTGGTGGTGTTGTAGTGATGGTTGTGGTTGTGGTGTTGGTGGTGGTTGTGGTGTTGTAGTGTTGGTGGTGGTGGTGGTGGTGGTGGTGGTGGTGGTGTGGTGGTGGTGGTGGTGTGGTGGTGGTGGTGGTGGTGGTGGTGGTGGTGTTGTAGTGGTGGTGGTTGTGGTGGTGTTGTAGTGATGGTGGTGGTGGTGTTGTAGTGATGGTGGTGTGGTGGTGGTGGTTGTGGTGTGGTGGTGGTGGTTGTGGTGTGGTGGTGGTGTTGTAGTGATGGTGGTGTTGTGGTGGTGGTGTGGTGGTAGTGATGGTGGTGTGGTGGTGGTGATGGTGATGGTGATGGTGGTGGTGGTGGTGGTGTTGTTGTTGTGGTGATGTTGTTATGGTGGTGGTGGTGGTGGTGTTGTGGTGGTGGGGATGGTGGCAGTGGTAAAAGTGATGGTTGTGGTGGTTGATTAGAGTCGACAGGGTTACCCTCATTACCACAGAGGACGGGTACATCTCACTGAACCAGCATATAATCTCAGAGGGACCCCGGTTCAATCCCCTGCAGCACAGAAGCGGTTAGGCACGTTTCCTTTTAACTGATACTGCCGTTCATTACGTAGTATATAGTTACCAGGGGGATTAGGCAACTGTTATTGGTAGTTGGCAACCCCCTTCAAATCAACCTATAGACTACCCCCTTCAAATCAACCTATAGGCTACCCCTTTTAAACGAACCTATAGACTATCCCTTTTAAATCAACCTATAGGCTACCCTTTTTAGATCAACCTATAGGCTACCCCTTCAAATCAACCTATAGGCTACCCCTTTTAAATCAACCTATAGACTACCCCCTTCAAATCAACCTATAGGCTACCCCTTTTAAATCAACCTATAGGCTACCCCTTTTAAATCAACCTATAGACTACCCCTTTCAAATCAACCTATAGGCTACACCCTGTGGAAAATTCCACTCACCATATCCTTATTATTTAAGGAATGAATTATTCCATATATTTATTAATTTTTTGAGATATATACAAGAGTTGTTACATTCTTGTACAGCCACTAGTATCACGCTTAACGTGATATTTCAGAATATCAGATTGATTATATATTGATCATATCTACTGTATCTACATCAGCTTCCTTCATGACCATTGGTCAAGTAGACTATTGGGCTTAATGCCTATATATTCCAGATGTGATCACAAGAATCTTAGAAGTTTCCATATAATCAAAAAAAATTATTGGAACCAAAGTTATCGGTTCCAGTGTTGTAATTTCAAAATGCTTAATATAGAATAAAAGGTACTATCAAGTACTGTTAATAATCTTTAAATCTACTAAGTAATCATGTGATACAAGTGTCACAATCAGTCTAAATAATGAAAATAATCAATTTATAATCATTGCCGGCACCTGGACTGAAGCCGACGGTGGGGCAGAATGGCCAGGCGCCAGATTCACGAAGCAGGTTACGCAAGCACTTGAACGTGTACATCTTTCCTAATCTTTGACGGCTTTAGTTACATTTATTAAATAGTTTACAAGCATGAAAACTTGCCAATCAACTTTTGTTATTGTTATAAACAGCCTCCTGGTGCTTTGGAGCTCATTAACTGTTTAATAATTGGAACCAAAGCCGCCAAAGATTGAGAAAAGATGTACATGTTCGTAAGTGCTTTCGTGAATCTGGCCCCAGGTACCTGGCAGCCTCGTGTTTACATCCAGGAGTGCTCTCGTGTGTAAGGCTGGCGAGACTTTCAGCAAGATATATACACACAAACTACTGATAACCCATCAGTGATAGCTCCCTGAATACTGGGAGAGTGTTTGCACCGTATGAAGGGAGGAATTCCTGGTACATATCAGAAAAATCAAGAGTGTGGTGGGGCCACGGGCCTGGGAGCCCCCACCACCGCATCATCTACCAAGTGAGACACAACAACGTGCACTCCATATCTGAGCAAGCAACTGGACTCATTTACAGCAACGCTGTGTCATCAAATCAACAACATCGAGCTGCCATTTCATCATTAAAATACAGCGTCTGGTCTCAGCAAGAGGGCCATCATCTGGCTACTGTCAGATAGGATCCGGTTCTCAATTCAGGATAAGTTATTATTGGTTTTAGAGCGTAGATTGGCTAATTAGCATGCTTTATTACATTAATACAGCCATATATATATATATATATATATATATATATATATATATATATATATATATATATATTGAGTCGTTAGGCAGCGAGGCAACGCCTCATCATCAGTACGTTCTGACCTACTCATGCACTGAGCTTATATCGCTGAACATTTATATCTTGTGTATATAATTCTTTACTATAACTTATCATACATTTAATTTAGCCTTATCCATTACCTTAATTTATCAAGGTAGTTTATTTTATTGCATATAACAATTTGTGTATGCAAATTTACATACAGCCTGTGACCAACAGCAGAGATATTCCTCCTAGGAGTAGGCTAGAGAGTGTATAGTTCAGATCCTACATCATGAACCCTACCAGTGCTTGCAGTCACTGTTTTATCCTAGCCTTGTAAATTACAAGTTAAATGTGAGGGTATACCCGTAGGTATACTGTTCAACAGTTTACGAGCCAGATCAAGCCTTTAAGGCCCTTACCAGCTACAGCACGTTACCATTGGTCACAGTGGAGTGGACTTACAATCCAGCATAGGAACCTTGTACGCAGCATAAGAGCTTTTTGTGTCGTACTTCATTAGCAATTACAATTATTATTTAATTTTAAATTCATGGTTCTAATAACCACATTTTTGGTCCTGTGTAATTCTTCTCTCCATCAATAATCCTGGCATATACCCCCACAATCCCTTCAAATCAACCTATAAGCTACCCCATTCAAATCAACCTATAGGCTACCCCTTCAAATCAACCTATAGGCTACCCCTTCAAATCAACCTATAGGCTACCCCTTCAAATCAACCTATAGGCTACCCCTTCAAATCAACCTATAGGCTACCCCTTCAAATCAACCTATAGGCTACCCCTTCAAATCAACCTATAGGCTACCCCTTCAAATCAACCTATAGGCTACCCCTTCAAATCAACCTATAGGCTACCCCTTCAAATCAACCTATAGGCTACCCCTTCAAATCAACCTATAGGCTACCCCTTCAAATCAACCTATAGGCTACCCCTTCAAATCAACCTATAGGCTACCCCTTCAAATCAACCTATAGGCTACCCCTTCAAATCAACCTATAGGCTACCCCTTCAAATCAACCCATTCCCAACTTCAAATCAACAAAAAAAAAATATTACGTGAAAACTCAATTAGCGTTCATCACGACAGACACCATTAACTTTCAATAGAGTAAATATATAGACGAATAAAAATGGACGAACGGGCATAACAATGTGGATATAACACTTTAAATATATATTACAAAATACATCAGGAAATGTATATTTGAGTTATATTTACAGCCACTAGGACACGTTTCCGTTGTACTCCCAGCACCAGGGGAGACCAAAGGGGCCACCCCAGCACCAGGGGAGACCAAAGGGGCCACCCCAGCAACTGGGGAGACCAAAGGGGCCACCCCAGCACCAGGGGAGAGACCAAAGGGGCCACCCCAGCACCAGGGGAGAGACCAAAGGGGCCACCCCAGCACCAGGGGAGACCAAAGGGGCCACCCCAGCACCAGGGGAGAGACCAGAGGGGCCACCCCAGCACCAGGGGAGACCAAAGGGGCCACCCCAGCACCAGGGGAGAGACCAGAGGGGCCACCCCAGCACCAGGGGAGACCAAAGGGGCCACCCCAGCACCAGGGGAGAGACCAGAGGGGCCACCCCAGCACCAGGGGAGACCAAAGGGGCCACCCCAGCACCAGGGGAGAGACCAGAGGGGCCACCCCAGCACCAGGGGAGACCAAAGGGGCCACCCCAGCACCAGGGGAGAGACCAGAGGGGCCACCCCAGCACCAGGGGAGACCAAAGGGGCCACCCCAGCACCAGGGGAGAGAC